AAAATAAACACGTAAAGGTTCGCCCCTCGGGCACTGTATCAACAAAACCGCCCCTCGGACAACATCTCAGAACAATACCAGCCCCTCGGGCTCAATCTCACATCACAATGGGTACCCGCACTCACTAGGGGTGTGCAGACTCCTGGAGGAGCCCCTTACGACCCAAGCGCAATAACAAGCCATCTCGTGGCATCAACACTAGGCTCTCGGCCTCATATCAATCAAGCCACCTCGTGGCGTACATATCTCAGGCCCTCGGCCTCAAATCAATATCGGTGTTTCCTCACAACATAGGCTCTCGGCCTTACTCAGTCAAAAATCCTCACAAGCCACTCGGGGAATAGTAAGATAGTGTTTCTTAGCCCAAGCATCTTTTAAAATACATTTAAATATTAAAACTAAGCAAAAATGGCTGAGTACGAATACAGTGGAAAATAACATGACTAAGTTCAAGTATAAAGTCAAAGCAGTGAGCAAATATCAATAAAAATCTCCGAAGGGTTCAAATAGTTGGCACGAAGCCCAAATACGACATTCAGCCCAAATAATGATGATAGCAAATAGATTTCAGTCAAATACGCGGTAAAATCATCAATCGGGATGGACCAAGTCACAATCCCCAATAGTGTACGACCCCACGCTCGTCACCAAGCGTGTGCGTCACCTTAATATAGCACTACGATGTGCAATCCGGGGTTTCAAACCCTCAGAATATTATTTACAATCATTACTCACCTCGAACCGGTCAGATCTCTAGTTCGCGATGGCTTTGCCCCTTGAATCGGCCTCTACTCGTGTCGAATCTATCCAAAATCAGAATGAGGACGTCAAAATAGGCTAAGGAAACGAAGCCCAAGCGAAAACAATCAATAAATGGCACAAATCCTGAAATTACCAAAACCCGACCCCCGGGCCCACGTCTCGAAATTCAATAATTTTTACATCAATAGATTCTTATCTCCCCACGAGTTCATACATATCAAAAGTTCAGAAATCTGACCCCAAATGGTCCTTCAAATCCACAATTAAAGGCCTAAGTTTCCAAGCCATAGTTTCCCCAATTTTAACCTTTAATTTCCATAATTTCCAGCTCTAATCCATGAAATAATAGCATAGGAACGAGTTTTAGGTCCCAATCCCTTACCTCAATGAAGTTTCCTTGAAATCCCTCTCTCAAATCATCCAAAAAGCTCCAAAGCCGAGATAAAAATGGTGAAATAGCTCAAAATTCACGAGGGCCACAATTTATACTTTCTGCCCAGATATTTTCGCATCTGCGGCCCAATACCCGCTTCTGCGGTATCGCATTTGCGTTCAATCATCCGCTTCTGCGGTTCTTGACTTAAAAGGCCCAATCCGCATCTGCGGTCAACTCTTCGCACCCGCGCCTTCACATGTACGGTCACTCTACCGCATCTGCGATTCCTGACAATTCCTCCATAATCCGCTTCTGTGGCTCCTCTTCTGCACGTGCGGCGTCGCACCTGCGGTCCCCAATCCGCAGGTGCGGAAATACTAGAAGCAGCTGAGATTTTGTAACTTCACAAGTCTCAAACCTTTCCGTTAACCATCCGAAATCACCCCGAGGCCCCCCGGACCTCAACCAAAAGAACAAACATAACCTAATACCTTATTCAAACTTGTTCCAATCATCAAAACACCTCAAACAACATCAAATCATCCAAAACATATCGGATTCAAGCCAAACTTTCTAAAATCTTCCGAATTCCACATTTGATCAAAAACCCAACCAAACCACGTCCGAATGACCAGAAAATTTGCACACATATCCCAAATGACAGAACAGAACTACTGCAACTCTTGGAATTCCATTCCGACCCCTATATCAAAACCTCGCCTACCAACCGAAAATTGCCAAAATATCAACTTCGCCAATTCAAGCCTAAATCTACTCCGAACCTCCAAAACTCATTCCGATCACGCTCCCAAGTCACAAATCACCTCCCGAAGCTAACCGAACCCTCAGACTCACATTCGAGACCTCTAACACATAAGTCAACATCCGATTGACCTTTTCAACTTGAGTTTCCTTAAAAGAGACTAAGTGTCTCAAACCTTACCAAAATCATTCCGGATTCGATCCGATCAACCAGATACCACATAACACGGATAAACAAAGCATAAAGAAGCAGAAACGGGGGAAACAAAGCGGTAACTCATGAGACGACTGGTCGAATCATCACACTTCTTGCTTCATGTCGGAAACGAAGAAGAGCATCCAATAAAAGATGATTTGGTTCTTCCTGAACACTTGGTTATCAATCCCAATGGTAATAGTAGTGGATTCTTCATCAAAAAAATGGTAATAGTAGTGCATTTAATAAGAGAAATATTTCTATCATTAGATTAAAACGCAATTTGTGCAAATCGCATGATAGAATTAAAAAGATATCTTAGCTTGCATAAATGAATATGTTGATCAAATTAATAAAAGGTTGATTGCAAACTTTTATAGTAAAAACAAAATGTTTTTCAGTTTTTGACTCAACAAAAAAGATACCTATAATTACTACCGAGAAGAATACTTAAATACTTTAATATTAAATGGCCTTCTACCATACATGTTTATTATCAAGTTTCTTATTTCTTACGTATGTTAGTGTCACCTTATATATAATAGACTAAGTTAAAATTGATCTTCCATTGTATATAGGTTAATTTTGAAGAAAAATATGCTCGTCATGTACTGAAAAACTTGGATACGCTGAATAGCTTATGTAATAGCACATAAATGCTATATAAAAGTTTTGGCAATAACATCATACATGCAAAAATTATGATATTGGTTAATGTGCTTCTAAGTATATTATTATCCCTGAATTCAACTTTCTTCTTCAGAAACTAAGGAATATCCTTTAAATTTGTGCGAAAATAATTTTTAGTATGTTTATGTTTTGCAAATATAATAAATAAAGCATAAGGACAAACATCCTAAATATTGGACTATATTTACCGTAATATATTTTTCTTGCACGAACAACTGTATGTTGCACTTTCAAGAGGGATAAATCGACAACAAGAGTTCTGGTTAAGGCAGAGCAACCAACACATTAGGAGAAAACATACACACACACAAAAATTTGTCCACAAAGAAGTGCTCGTCAAGATACTATCACATTAAATACTTTTAAACTATAACATATAATTATCTAACTAACATGACAAAGTTGATCATTCGTGTAAGTTTTGATGATGTCCTTTTATTTTAAATTCATGTATTATGCTAATCTAATACTATTTTTCGGTATTTAGATGATTCTTGCATAACACATAAAATTTCTCTCATTAATTAAATTTTATTGTTCCTTCATTTAAATAAATGTTTAAATCATCACGTGCCATTATTAATGTGCAACACACGTTCATATATATATATATATATATATATAATTTGTATTTCATTATCTTATTTGCTACCTCATGCACGAAAAATCACGCTTAAAAATATGAAAGAAGATCTTTGCGTGTGATTCTTGGAGAGAAAGAACCTTATTTATTTGGATTTTCAGTTTTTATTTGTGCTTGGCTAGTTTTGATAAGTATATGTTTAATAGCTAGAGGTTGGTAAGTTGAGATTTATTCAATTTCGATTTTGTTTCGTCACTCTGCTCCGTTTCGATTGAGAAATTCAAATTTTTACTAAATCAATGGCCCAAGAATATAACGTTCTCTCCGGCTTATCTACTACAATAGCTCTCTTTCATCCACTCAGAACATGTGGAAAAAATTGCACGGGCACCCTATTTGGTCGCCCCCATTTAACCTATACCTACTTTTTAAAAAAGTTTTAACTTGTACTCATTGTTTAAACAACTTCAGGCCTCTTTCTCCTCATCCTCCTTCGTTTTCTGAATGTTGTAGATTGAGATATTGTTATGTGTTCTAGCCTTATGGACCGTCCAATTCAGAAATTCTAATTTTAATTGCTACTAAAACATGAAAGCACGACTTGATTCCCTATGCATTAGGTGAAAATATTACTTTTACTAATGGTCTTGTTTTATAGGAGTATTGCTTTTCAAATTTAATGATAATTCCATTATAGCAACCAGATCTTAATGGCAACTTGTCATTGTTGTTTTAGAACTTCAGCTCTAAGAATACTGAAGTTCAGCAAATATAAACAAAAACTTCAGCTCCCAGAATGTTGAAGTTTAGCAAATACAAAACAAACTTCAACCCTGAAGTTCATCACAAACACAACAAAGCTTCAGCTAAAACATGCTGAAGTTCAGCAAATATAAACAAAAACTTCAGCTCCCAGAATGTTGAAGTTTAGCAAATACAAAACAAACTTCAACCCTGAAGTTCATCACAAACACAACAAAGCTTCAGCTAAAACATGCTGAAGTTCAGCAAATCTAGAACAAAACTTCAGATAAAACATGCTGAAGTTCAGCAAATAAAGAACAAAACTTCAGCTACTAGAATGCTTAAGTTCAGCAATTACAAATAAAAACTTCAGCCAACAATTGGTTCAGTAATTTTTGCCACTTCAGGCCCGTCTACTAGAATGCTGAAGTTTGCATGATTGCCTTTGCTACTTCAGGCCCATATGTCTGAAGTTACGCGAAAAGTGGGTATGCTTGCAATTTTTTTTTGTAAAGCGGGTATTGGTTAAAATGTGACCCAAAAAACGGGTATAGTTGCAAATGCCCCGAACATGTGACATTCCCCATTTTGGGCTTTTTCTCTCAATAGCCCATACTTTTAAGAACCGATAACGCCTTCTCCAACCCCTTGGAGTTAGGAGTGGGTATAAAATCCGAAAAATTGAATTCTAAATCAAACCAAATTAATTTGATATTTCGGTTTTATCGGTATTTCGGTACAGAAATTACGATATTTCGGTAGTTCGGTATGGTATTCGGTAATACCAAAATATTTAGTCCATACCCAACTTTTTTTTTTATTTTTTAGCCCAATAACCTTAACCTTAAGCCCACATCCCAAAAGTCCAAAACCCCTAATTCCGTAATCCCTTACCCTTAGGCTTAGTCGCTTAGAGGCCGACAAGAAAAGGAAAAGCTACGCCTATGCCAGTATCAAAAAACCCAAAATTTCAACTTTGCTTGGTTGCTGCGGCGGATTCACGAGTTACGACTCACGACTACAATAGCTTCACGACCTCGGGGACGGCGACTCCTCTCCTCGGCGATTGCTTGTTTGCTCATTGTTGACCTTCATTCAGGTTCATAACTTCTCCATTCTTCATTGCTGATCTTCATTCATGCGAGCTATAATCACATTTCTGAGTTAAGTTACTTTTTAACTGGTATGTATTGATACATGTCAGTGATTAAACTGGAATTGGCAATCAAATTAGAAGGAAGCCTTTTGAATTCAATTTCAGATCCCACCTTCAAATTCTTCTTTCCATTGTAATATTTGTTTTAGGCTCGTAATGCAGCCAGTGATGTTACTGGAAATAATTATTGATCAACTTTTTGGAATAAGTTTGTAGTCTTGACATTTACATGGAATGATCCGAAACCGTACCGAATCGTACCGAACCAAACAAGAAAATATCGAACCGTACCGAACTACTTTGGTACGGTATTTGGTATGCACAATTGATATACCGAATATCGAAGTACCGAACCGTAATTCATAAATACCGCACTAAAGTACCGAACGCGCCCCCCTACTAGTTGGAGTTGCAGTCTCGCTTGTTTCTTCCCACTGGGAAAACATCCTCTTGAGCAGATACTGGTGAATTACTCTCTTAAATTTTGATTTATATGCTGTGGTCATTATTGATATATTTAATGTTGTAGAAGCAGAGTGTAACAGTAAAGGAGCATAACAATATCTGTTCTTTTTTTCATGATTCATTTTAGTTTGCTTGAAATTCTACACCGGCTTTTTAGGTTTAAGTATTTTTCTTTTAATGTATGGAATTTACCATGGAAAACTTTCAAGAGATGCGGTCTCTCTGTCTCTGTAGGATACATTTAGAGCCTTTTCCTTTAATTGAGCAAATTATAGCAATATCTTCCCTTATGAATAGTCGAGATGCCTGGTTGTGCCAATTTCCCTAGTTGGCAATATCACAGTGTTGTTTGAAGAGTACTGAATTGCAAAAGCAATTCTACTTGAATAAAATAAAAGAACAAATTAGACTTTTGTAAACTTGTATATTTGTAATTTATATAAAATGTATAAAGGATATGTAATAAGGTTCAGTGACAAGTGTGAGAATATGCTACAAAGTTGGTTCTGACTTCAAAGATTTAATCTTGATCTTGTGCTAATATCTAATAGCCTTTTCTCTTTGCATGTTGTTTACTCTAGGCACAATTTATTTATTTTAAATTAGAAGACAATGCCGCTGGGACTGCTATTAGGTTTAGGGAGAAATTTCAGAAGAAAACGTACTTCGTCTCTCGATATTCTTACTTCAAAAAGGGTTCCTCGGGGCTACTACAAGGGAAAGAATTGCAAGCCTACTGGTTTTCACACTCGCAAAGGTTTGAATTCTCTATTTTCTCCCTAGTTGGAACAGATTTTTTGTAGCTTTATAAGAATTTCTATGTTTGAATTTTTCCTAAATTTGGTACTCAACTACCTGTAGATATGTGGTACATTAGATGCTTGTAAAAAGCTAAAGCCTAAAACTGCACACTGCCCTCGCCATTTGCCACCATTGTTCTACTCGGAAGTGAAATCTTTATGCAGTCATGACATATAAATCAATATTTTTCTTGTCTATGGTTAAGCTCGTAATGATAGTCAGTCCTTCACACCTCATACTTTTGAGAAAGATTATGATCCGGTTTATCTATGTGATTGCTTATGCAGATGTCTAACCTATGCTATGATTTATGTATCATTTCTATTTTCTCCTATTCCAATTTCTGAATAGTATGTTAAGTGGTACATCTGAGGAGTCATATGATGTTTGGCCTGAAGCCATCAAACCAGAAGAGAAAGAGAGTATGGAAAATATGAAGAAAATCTTCTGACTTCGTTTGTCACCTCAAAAGATGTATGAAACTGCGGTTAGAAATTTAGACATGACATGCTGTTTTGTTTGATTAGTTACAAAAGTTTTAGACATTACCTGCAGTTTTGTTTGATTTATCACAAATTCCAGTGGCACAAGTATCATAGTTTAACCTTAGGTTCAATGAAGAATAGTATATCAATTTTGTCTCTGTAATTCTTGCTAAATTCCTGCCGAGAAACAATAGTCTTATTGATGTGAAAACATTATATGGTTACTGTTATAACCAGGAAATCCAGTCTCGTTGATGTGAAAAAATTATATGGTTGCAGCTGATGCATTCTGATAAGTTATTGAGTTTCAGCTAGGGCCATTAAATTTCTTGTTCTTGTTACCCTGCCCACTTTTGTCTCCATTTCAAAAAGTAGAAATGCTAAATTCTTTTACCTCGAAAGCTAAATATTCCAGCACTTTATGAAGCTGACAATTTCTAGTTATTTTTCGTCACATAGAAGCACACAGATATTTCAGTTTATTCCTAATAGCATATCGTTATTTCTTGTTCCAGGTGGTTATGTTGTTATGCAAGAGAAGCTGCCTAACTATGTAGTTCCAGATTTGACTGACTTCAAGGTACTTAACTTTCACTGAAGTATTAACCAATCAATATTTTCTCTGATCAATGTGCCTTCTGTTGCTCACCTTCTAGCCTTTCCGCTTGAGGAAGAGCAATCAAAATTAAATTTGTAACTGTTCATTGTTCCATTTACAGTCACCAAAAATAAATTGCTAAAAGTAAAAAGAGGACCATGTGCTGTCGTCACTCATTTACCCATGTTTCCACCTCCAGTCTTAGCCCGTTTTAGGTTATGCAGCTTGAAAAGGTGAGTATGGTTTGGAGGAGTTGGTGAATATTGAAGTATCGTCCAATCAATGTTTTCTCTGATCAAAGTGCCTTTCGGTTGCTCCTGTTCTAGCCTTTCCGCTTGATGAAGAGCAATCAAACTTGAAAGTATAACCAGTCATTGTTCCATTTACATTCATCAAGAGTAAGCTTGCTGTAAATAATTTGCTAAAAGTAAAAAGAGGGACATGTGCTTTCATCACCCATTTACCATGTTTCCACCTCCAGTCTAAGCCCATTTTAAGTTATGCAGCTCAGCTAAAACTTAGCAAGTTGATAGCATTCCTTTAGATCTCTTTATCGTTTCTACCATTCTAAGACTCTTTCTTCAGCAAGGGGAATCAAGCAGACAGAAGGAAAGGAAACAAACCATTTTCCTCCTCATCCCATCCCCACCCTTGCTTAAGGAGAGAATCTGTTATTTGACTGCAGTTGCTTCCATGTTCTTATGTTCTTCCATATGTATTTTATAAGGACATCTTGCTTTCTGATTTCATTATCTGTTTTTAAGTGGTTTTTTATTAAACAAAGGTTCTACCAAACGAAAGAGAGATGGTTTCAATAAGCTTTTCTTCCCCTTTTTTCTTTCAATTCAGTTCTTGCTCAATTGTATAGTCAAATCTCATCCATGCATGAACCAAAAGGAATAGGGCTATTTCCAACTCATGTCTCCCTCACAATGGACTTCAAGTCCTATTAAAATTTCTGGGGTCCGACGAGTCCTATTCCCCCTAACCCTTCCCTAAGAAGTCCCGAGTTCTATTAATATCATGTTTTGTTCCGGTACTTTCTTAAATCTGTAATTGCATATCAGACCACCTACTTATAATATCTTATAGTTTAAAAATACTGTTTATCATAATGCAAATAACACTTTAAATAAGGGTGATAATGATATAATTACAATGCAAAAAAAAGAAGATATAATTTAAACTTTTATTTTATCAAAAAGTGTGTGTGTGTGTGTGTATATATATGTATANTGTAAGTATGTGTTTCTTATACGCAGTAAATTTTTGCGCTTCATGAGGGATTCATTTTTTATTAAAATCAAGAATTTTTGAATTTAGTAAATATACTGGTGCAAGCATATGTATGCCTGTTAATTTTTTGAAGTTGTTGCATACATTATTGGTGTTTGCAGTAAACTAGCTAAAAGTGTGTATCCCATTCTTATTCTATCATAATAATTAATTTTGATAAGTTAGTTAATTAGTAACTGTCTCTCTTAATAATTGATTTATTTTATTCTCAAAAAAAATATGTTGGAATGCAATATGATACTAATAGCATTCAAGTCAGTTGAAAATTGGTATGAAAAGTAGGAGTTAACTTATTAGTCCCTAAAGGGTCGTTTGATTGGGAAAAAAGTTATCCCAAGATTAATTATCCCGGAATTAGTTATCCCACCTTCCCATAGGGATAAAAATAATACTTCAACCCCGGGATACCTAATCCCGGGATTAGTTATATCGCGATTTTGTCCCAACCAAACATGAGATAAACTCATCTCAAATTTAATCCCGGGATATAATTATCCCTGATCCCTCGTACCAAACGAGCCCTAAGAGTTTTAATAGGTCCTAAAAGTTCGTCCCACGGATAGGGGTAGGTCTAGTTAATAAACACATTTCTTCTGGCGACGACCTTTTAGAGGATATCCATTTCGTTGCAGCTTGTTTGTGTATGATAACGAGATAAAAATGCTGTCAATTTGCCTTTGGCATATTTTATAACTTTTAAACTCGGAGTCTTCCCTAGGATATCTATGCGTGACAATCCTTTCTGTTATGCTCCTAGCGGACCTGTATGTAGTTATTCTCTTCATTACTCATCTTGTTTTCCTTTCTCTTTTATTATTTTTGTTGTTTTGGAGAAGTAATTACCTTGTTTCCTCACATGAGGGCTTTGTGAAGTAATACAGGCCAGCATATATTAGATCAGTCATGTCTAAGAACTATTTATAATTTCTGTTGTTCATAGAGTAACCAAAATCACTCATTGGCAACTTCTTTCCTGTCCATGAGATGATTAAAAAACTATATAACATTTGGAACTAGATTGTGGTCTATCTGGAAATCTGCTTATCAAAATAATAGATTTCTTACTTCACTGTTTGCTGCCTTTGCTCTTTTTCTATGACGTATCCTAGATGAGGTAATAGCCTTAGAGAGTAGATAGCGATAATGTGTTGGTCAGCTGGAAGTTGCCAGGTTCTTGAGCTTTTACAAGTCGCTTTTCGTGAAGATAACACTATCTTGGTGTATTATTAATGAACTCCTTCTGATTCATCAAAAGAAATACTATTTAACTTTCAGTCCCTTATAGGAAATACGTTGTTGCTTATGCTTTCTGTTTGGGCCCAGCACTTGCTTAGACCACCACTTGCTTTTGATTTGTCTTTACATTCATTCACTTTCTTTTTGGCAAAAAGTTATCTAAAATGAAAACATTTATCTAAAATGAAAACATTCTTTGGGTTATTCCATTATATTAATCATTTCAAAGCCTTTTAATATCTTGAAACAGGTAGTGCTTGAGGTAGGTTAGACCTAGCACTTTCCTAGCCCATGGATTAGGGCGTGGACTTTTCAAGCATGCCCCAAAATGAGCTTAATTTTCATTAGTCAGATTGTACTTTCTTGTATTCTGTGTTGCTGCTGCTTTCCTAATCCTATTAACGTTCAATATTGATGGGTGTTCACCTTTCACTCTTTTCCAATATAGTGATCCCCGTCTCAGCTTCTCTTGAAATTATCAATGAATTTACAGAACTGCATTATGTTCACTAGATCGTAGAATATGTTTATGAAACTTGTGATCTTTTTGTTTACTCATTCCCTGAGTAAGAATCCTTGGATCATCACTTATTCCCTGTTTTTGTAAAGTTTTTTACAACCTTGCAACTGATGAATTCCTTTCTTTTCTTTTTCTTTTGCAGCTGAAACCTTATGTATCCCAATGCCCGATAGAAATTAAAAGCACAAGTACGGAGGCAAACGAATCTGCAAAATAAGGTAGAAGGAGAAAAAGGATGAACAATTTTCAAGTATATTAGGCTTTTCTCTGTTCTCATTTCTAGCTAAACATGAAAGCGACAAGTTGTTCTAGAGCATCATCTGTTGGGATCAAGAAGTCGGGTCCTTTTTTTTTCTTTTCTATTTTTAGGTACTCAACTTTTTAGCTAAACATGACATGGGTGACATGATCAACTCTCTATTTGCTATGGAGATTAACTAGTTTGGTTGAATACCCTAGACCAGAAAACGGCGAGGTTGTTAGGATAGGAATAAGATCAGTAGATACGCTTAGAATTAGGAGGAATAACTGGCTGCGGTAGGAGGAATAATTTGCAGTTTCAATGCTTAAAGTTTAAACAAAGTTATCTTTGCTGATTAGATTACACAAAATAAGATATTTAAAGGCAGAACCTTTTCTGCAAAAAAGATAGAACGCGTAGGTGCACAAATTGTCTTCTACTCTTCTTTTACAAATATTCCATTTACACCAATAACGTGGATGTTTGTCCGTGAGACTGGAGAGGGAGAAATATAAGTTTAATTTGAGATCTTCAATGTTTTTTTTTGGCTATTTCGGTTAATTACACTTGTCCTTTTGAAATATAGACAAGCGACTTGGAAGTATGGTAATATGTTAACATTGAAACTTAGCTCTCTTTCTTATCTTTGTTGTTTGCTCTCATGTCTTAATTTCAGCCTATGAATTCTAACAGGTTCTAAATCGTGTATACGGAATTCAAATGTTTCTCTGGAGTGTTTGATTGGTAAGCATTGAAAAAAATGTATGAAAGATAAGTAATAATGTTAGCAAATCAGATATTCTAAAGAAATTTTTGAGTACTACAGATTAATAATAACGTTTAAGTATTAGTTGGAGCAAGTGATATAAAGTTACAAATAGTTAAGATAGTCGTGAGAAAATATTTTCTTGCAATCAAATACTATCAAAATGATTGTCATGAAAAATATTTAATTGAAAGACGTCTTCTATTGTATCAAACACAATGGTGAACAAACTTGATTTTAATATTCAACAAATTCACGTTGCAACAAGATATGGTTGTCCTATTTGTAGGCTATTACTATCTGGTTTTCGCCTATAAAGTTGGACAAAATACAAAAACAAATACTACGAAAGAAAATAGTAAAATGGGGAAATTGGGTGTGGGAGGGTTGGAGCCTTGGTGGGAGGTTTGAAGTCAACGATTCTTAATTTGTAATTGAATTTATAGCTTTTATATATATATTCACTCACCTTTTTTTATCCTTACTCATATCTTCCTATAACCTTGTCGATCTACCATACTTTAACTTACGACCTACACATATCTATTCATACTTGTTCGCAACCTTCCCTCAACTTGCTTGCACCATAGATTTCCTTATGTTATTCTAGAACAACAAGCGAGACATCACATCGTCTCTAACTCTTTTTTTACTCTCTAATTAGACCTTTCGGTACTTAGAAACCATAGGCTGAAAGGTATGCCGCTGACAATGCCGCTATCATTCTCGGTTATTGAATTCCCGCGCTTCTAGCCTTCTATCTGAAATTTGGACTATTCACAATCTTCTGCATTTGATTATCTCGTACGTTGTTCACCTTTACCTTACTTACTTAAAATCTCGCATATATATATACACACACAAAACTTACTAAACTCATTCGTATTCATAGCTAATATTGTAGCTTCACCCCTAGTTGGAGGAACTAGTGAGGGGTCGGGGGAAGGGGCATTGGCGGATTTACATATCGGTAGCGTCATAGCTTTTGATTCGAGCTATATGTATCAGTGTTTTAAAAGGCGTTTTCGAGGCGAGCCCTAGGGCGAGGCGCACCAAAAATGTTCTGAGGCGATGGTGTGGGGCGAATGTCTCAAGAGGCGTACGCCCAGCAATGCCCCGAGGAGATGGCGTGAGACGCGTTTTTGTAGTGAGACGTAAGCCCCAGAGAATTTTTCAAATTAAAAAAAAAATTGTTGAATAAGTGCTTCATATAATACCTAAATTCTCAAAAGTCAGCTTGTAATTACTCAAAAGTTTTAAACAGGAACTGAAATGTATTAAATTTAAAAGTCAAGACATTTTTTATTGGTTGAAGCTCTAATTTATGGTCGTTCCCAATTCTTTATCTTGTACGCTAGTCTGCTAATATCTCCCAAAAGCACGAATATTCAATTTTTTTTTTACAAATACAAGAGAACTCCATTCTCCTTCATAGCCACAAGTTCAAAGTTCAATTGCAGGTTAGTCATCATTTTTTTTCTCTATGTAGAAAACTTTATTCTTTTCGACTCAAGTTACTTGTGCTTGTAAGTAGCGTATAATATATTNTTATATTATTTTATAAAATATTAAAAATTAAATACCCATGGAGCTTACGCCCCTTGCATCAGAGTTTACGCCTTGCTGAGGCATATGTAAAACGCCTCACCTTACGCCCACGCCTTTTAAAATACTGATATGTATAGCTTAAAAATGTAACTAATTTAATTATACAAAATTAATACCTGCTGAATCACCTCTGCGAGGAGATAGGGTGTTAAGTAGGGGTGTACATAGGTTGGGTTGATTCGGATTTTACAATTATCAAACCAAACCAATTGTGTCGGATTATTAAAACTAAAGACCAAACCAAACCAATAAACTCGGGTTTTTCACTCTCGGGTTCTCTCGAGTTTTCTCGGGTTTTCGGGTTATTCGGGTTTTTTTTTGTAAAACTTCGTAGAATAAAACATATAAATTGTGCTCAAAATATTTCTTTAATCCTAGTAAAATACAACTATATAAAGTATTTTCCAAGAAAACAATACAAAATAATAAAATATGAGATGTGTCATGGCATTTTCCTAAAATATTCAATAATAAAGACAATAAAATTATGTAATATAAATATTGCTAATTAAAAAGCCATAATAAAAATAAACATAATCTAAAAGTACTAAGGCATGCTAAAATAAGTAGAGTAATAAGGGAGTATTATTTACATGACTAAACACTAAAAAGAAATAGGTTATGCATTTTTATTAAATTATTGCAGAACAAAAAATAAATATTCAATACATTCCCGTTCGTAATATTGAATTGAATGTCTTTTGTTAGCATTAGTATTGATTTGATTTTGGTTTGGGCTTTTGTTAGCATTATTTAATTTACTAATATTAATGGCTATAAAACTTATTGGAACATTCAAAAATTTTAAGTCCAACCTTGAAATAATACCTTAAAAGATAAAATTATGAAATTTTTTAAGAAATATTTATAAATTACATTACAATAAGTATATTTATATATTAAATATATCTAAAATTTAAATATATGTAATGTCGGGTAGGTTTGGTTTCAGTTTGACTTTCTTTAGTTAAAACCAAATCAAATCAATTATGGTCGGATTTTTTTTCCAACACCAAACCAAATCAAACCAAACCATAATCGAATTTTTTTTCTCGATTTGACTCGAATTATCGGGTTGGTGCAGTTTATTTCGCAATAAGAAACTTTTCCACATAGAAGTTTCAGCTACTTAAAGCGAGAGTGCATACAAAAATTCGAAAAGAGCGCTCGGCCTTGGTTGAAACAATTATAGGTGTCAATGGACCGATTTCTGCTTTCGAGCTACACCGGGGGCAAAATCTTTTTCCCACTAAGACGTGCATCTTTATGGCTATATCGTCCTGAAGACGGATGCGAGGGGAAGAAGTGGCATTTGGAAGTGTTGCTGACTTAACATTAGGTTTCGGCATAACAATGCTTTATCGGTTTCCTTTGTATACCCCTAATCTTGAGGCACGGTGAGTAGAAATCCATTGATAGAGCACAAATTGTTTATCTTTTATCTGACCCTTTCCTTCGCTTCTCCTACCTTAGATACCTCCCAAAAAATTACTTTAAAAAATGGTAACAAACGTGCAAAATGAAAAATTGGAATTTTTGAATTATGAAATCAAAATAAAGTATGATTTAAAGATACTTGTATAACAAGTTGAAGAATTTTGGGAGTCAGTTCTTTTGGTCGTACAACAAGGATAATCGTCTTATTTACTCAATCTTTATTTTATTATTCTTATTAAATATTTAATTTAAAGTAAGATTAACTGAGTCAATTTCCACGCTTGGCCCGCGTAAGAAAGTGTAAAGAAAGCTTCATTGCTTAGTCCTTTTTAGCCACCGACTCAGCAAAACCAAACGGTTAGTCCAACACGAGTTCCATTTTTCCTTTTCTAATTAGTAAAATTTTCTAGCAGAGCATTTTGGTCCATCAACTTATAGACTTTCAAAAAATCTCACATAACACGTCAAAAAAGTCATTTCTATGAACCTCATTACGAACCTCACATGAACTATCATAGAAACCTCTTTTGCCAACATTCTTTTTAATACTTATATATACCTTCACGCCCCCTTCATTTCCAAGAACATCTAGCCAAAACCAATACCATGGAAAACAGAAGGAGATTTTCCAAGAATCAGATGCAAATCAGCAAAAGCAAAGCAAAGTCCAATTCTATAATCTGCAAGAAGCACCCTAAACACAAGCAAAACCCCGGGGTTTGCTCTGTCTGTCTTAGTGAAAAACTCTCTCTGCTTTCAAAAATTTCACGAAGTAATACTACAACTATTACTACTACTTCTTCTTCTTCTTCTTTGTCGTCTTTGTCTTCGTCTTCGGATGTATCCTCGTGTTCTTCTCCACTTCGTTATAGAATGGACAATAATGTGCTTATAAAGAGTAGATCGTTGGCTTTAATAATGAGAAGAAGAGAAGGTGGAATATTGGAAGAGAGTAATGGGAATAAGAAGAAAGGAGGGTTTTTGTCTAAATTATTAAATTCAAGGAGAAATAGAAAGGATGAAGGATTGACGCATTCAAGAACAATGAGAGGAAGGGTGATAACAAGACTAAGAACTACAGCAGCATGAGATTTTTATTTTCTTCTTGGTTTTGATTTAATAAGATCTGTTTTATTATTTAATAGTTTTTAGCTAGCCAATTTAGACAAAAGAAAAATATAGTACGAAAATAGGCCACGTCTGTATGAACTATGTTCGTGGAAATTGTGAATGATTATCGGGAAAAACAATTACCTTTTAATATATAGGGTACAACATTTTATAGTTTTGGTTCCTTCTCAGTGCAATGATGATGTGTTACTTAACAGAGTTAATGAAAAGATATGTATCTTTTTTCATGTTAAGAATTATATATACTGTAAGTGGAGTCTTCCTAGATGATTATAGTTTTGTTTTTCGTGAACCTTCTCTCTTGTCAAGTAACATAAGTTGTGAATTTTGGAGTTTAAATTGATTTAGGAAAAATATGTTAAAAGTTAGTGTCTGATTTATTGGTTCGTGTTTTCCTTCACTTTTGGCTCGTTCATATTTACTAGGTAGTCCCCGTTCACCATAATATAATTTCTTCTATCTTAAAGCATTTGACGAGCTGAGACGGATTCAAAATTTTAATTTGATGGTTCTAACTTTTAGCTAGGTTTCTTATCACTGAACTCATTTAGAATGATGGATTCATAATGCAATTTGTTTTAAACTTAGAGTAATTTTTAATATAATCTATATTTCGTATCTAAAATATTGGTTTCAATTAAACTCGCTCTTTATGCACTACATCACTAAAATGAAATTCGTAGTTATAACAAACCATTTTAAATTCGAAAGATTGTTTTTTATAGTGTTTCTTTCACACTGGTGATCGGTATGAATTTCCAACCGCCAATCCAAGAAAACGTTGAAGAACGTTCAGATGAAAATAGAAGAATAGAACTATATGCTTAATGAACTACACATTTGAAGTTTTCTAAGAAAACGAAGGAAAATCACAAAAGAATGTGTCATTATTCATTTGTAACTCATTTAATCCGCTGATTTTGCCACCTCTAAGTTACATGACAAATGCAAATAGCAAGGAGAACAATGGGAAAAGACACGCAAATCTTCGTACACCGATTCCGTATGTGGAGCTAGAGTTCTAGTTATAGATTTGATATATATAACCCGTTTGGCTAAAATTCTATTAAATAATCTAATAAATATGTATAAATAATTTATTCAGAACTCGAAAAGTTGCCTTTAATAGTCCGAAATCACAGTTGGTGATTTCTTTTTTCCTCGATTAAGTTAGAGGATGATTGTTTGAACTTTGAACTCGAAATTTGATACAACTCGTCCTTCTCCGATGGTTCGACCTTTTGTTTCTCGAGCCCATAAACCACTGCACGCATTTTCTAAATTAAAATTTTAATTTGTTTCAACATCAATGCAATATATACAACCAAATTGATGATCAGTCAATTTGACCTCTTAACCGATTCAATTCATCTAGCTATTTGAGATCGAGAGAAGCATATTGAATTGTATAGTTAATTAATTGGGAAACAAATTAATAGATGCATCGTGTTTATTATACTGGGAAAACTGTATACAGTCCACTATTATGTATTCATTACTTCCTTCGTATGAATCACGAATAGAAGTTATTATTATAAGCATGTTTGCTGTTATTTTCTTTTAAGAAAAAACAATTATACTCCCTATATGTGTCTCTATTATAAGTAATATTCAAAGGTAGAAAAGACAGGGAAATCTTAGCATTTACCCAAAATTTATTTAGCCAGATCGTTTTTGAAATCTTATACCTCATTGCCTTCGTTGTTATGCAGTTCAAACCAGTTAATTAGTAGTAAAATGAGTATATTTTTGTATGTATGGGGGTTAATGAAGAGACAAAATATTGCTCACATAACACCAAAGTTATATGTACTGTTGCTAGGCTGTTGTCATGCTGGAGAAGTGTGGACAAAACACCTCTCAAAGAAACTTCATCCTAATTTAAAAGCTACCCCTATTTAATTAATTAAATCAATGTGAATGGGTTAGTTGACGAGAAGACAATTAATTATATTTTTCATAACTTACTTTTATTGCATAAAGTATTCAAAACTTTTACATTTTCCATGACAGCTAGGAGAAAGATATTATGAACCCTAGTAGCTAATGTTAGTTCTCAGCAATTTCCTCTACATTTAATTTTATCAAAGTTGAATACTGCCCCGCCTGAACAGAAGATTAAAAAAGTCGAGTGCGCAGTAAAGTTGCTTCCTAAGTACTACTCTCTCAACATTTTGTATGGTACTAATATATTTATACATTTAATATATAATATGTTTTGTTTTTGGTTTTCTTTTAATTAGTTTGTAAGTTTTTTTATAAAACATGTGTTGCAGTAATCGTCTATTCAATTTTATAAAATTATCCTTTACCCAGAACTAAATGGGAATATATATAAAGAAAATTAATGGGGCAGGTTTAGTTGGCAAATTTGCTTTCTGATCCTATGTCGTGTTAGCGTCTTCTCCCTTTTTTTTCTCTCCCTCTTTTTTATTTTCTTTTTTACTTTTTGTATCCTTTCTTTTTCCTATGTCCCTAGAAAAAGGACCGTATTTGCTGGTGCCATCACCTTAAATAAGACCTGTATGGGTCCAAATTTGGACGACCACGATCATTGACAAATACGACGAGATCTTCGTAGCTCGACGTCCTGTGGAGGATGACAAACAAGCGAACAGAGACTGTACGTCTTTTACTGTAGGCCCAATATGGGGCATTAGGGATATTCTTTTGAATATTCCCTATGATATGTTTTTAGGGTTTAGAAGGGGTTTGTCCCTTATATATAGTTGAAAAACAACATTGTAAAAGGGCCTTTTTGCTTTTCTAGCTAAGAACACTGACCGTAATACTTTTCTACATAAACGATTGGCATCCTTAATGCTCCATCATTCATTCTCGCAAGATCAAGAAATATTATCCATTATGTTCATCTTTTATACACATGGTTTTAGAGTTTATTATACTTAGCTAAGATTTATCCCTTCATTTTCTTTGATTGATTTGTTCAAAAAGTTTCCAATATCTTTTGAGTCAAATAATTTGGCGCCGTCTGTGGGGATTTCTATAGCTGAGATTTTAGTTTTGTCTAGATCCGTGAAAGGGATAATCACCTCTTCTTAGCCTCGCAAAGACCAACAATGGCAGGAAAGGGGGAAGCAAGATTAAAGGCAATAGTAGGTGTCACGAACAACCTTCTGAATTCCATCAACGAAGCCGGCAAGGAAGACAATGAAAACGCAACGCCAAGAGCTACACCTGAGGGAGATACCTCACCCGCCTCCCCTCCCCCCCCCC